TGATGAGGTCTATCCAATGGAATTTTCTGAATCAGCACCCCAAATAACCAAACCAAATCTAAAGTTGACCAAAAACTGATTCGTAACCCTTTTGCTACTAATGTTGGCGAGTGGTCCCTGGTACAAAAAGGTTGGGAACCACTGTGCTAAATATTATTTTTGCGTGTTTGCATTCAACTGCTGTCTCTTTGGTTTGAGYCATCTGGCAGCATCTAAACTCGAGGCTGCTGTATTAGGGGAGACCACTGCTCTTTGGAGAGGTGAGACCCTTGCTGCCACGATGACCACAGGAAGCATTGCTGGGGAAGGGATGCTGATGTTGCTCCGTGACTAAGCACCAGGGCAAGGGAAGCTAGCGTAAACCCTGGGCGGGGAAGGGATGGGAGTGGGAAGTGCAGGAAGAAGGGACGTGAAGACTGCGGCACTGGCCGGCGGAGGGAGTAAGTGCAGGGATGGCGGGGGGCGGGRGGGCGGGCGGGTGGGTGGGAGGGGTCCAGCGAGAAGGACCTTGTTTCAGTACCTGTTTGGTTTTGCGGGCGCTGCTACCAGTACGTCCGAGCACTGTCCGAGGGCTTAAACTGCCAGCTCATATGGCTGCTACTGTCCATGGCAGCCAAATACAACTGTGATGATGCAGGAAAGAGAGAAAAAGAGAGTGCAGCCTCAACGTGCATGAAAAACACAGTGCAAGCAAGTGACACGCAGTGGTGCGTATGCCAATGACAGGGAGGGCTCTACCATCCTATGGGAGAAGACCTCGGAGCAAGGAAGGGCCGGAAAGGAGGGAAGGAATGATCAAGGGGACCGGAAAAGAAAAGACAAACAATGAAGTAGACACAATATCTGTTCCAGGAGAGCTTTTGCCTTGGTTTCCATAACAAAACTGTGCAGAATACGGAATGATTAAAATCTCTTAAATCAACTCGAACACCTGTTTGGATGTAGTAAACCTGAGAATTAAAGCCTTTTCCATAACTCATGGATATTTGTGCCTATCTACATCCAAGCATCTGATTTCACAGAGTGTTAGCATTCCAGTTTCCCCTCTTGCTCATATGTACAGTAGAATTTAGCCACACACAACAAATGGGTTGCATCGTCAGAACGAGGACTGTAATTACATGCATGTGAAATCTGCCTCTTCTCTCACATCTAAATTGGGTTTCGTTCCATAGCACAGAACTGCTCGCACATAGACATGATGGTAATCCCTCAGTGTTGCTTTCCCACAAGCAAGGGAGTTGGCTCTCTCTTTTGCCCTTTCACCCCAAAGCAGAAATGTCTCCACGGACACTGCTTCTCCAAACTGCAGTTTTAGTTCATGTGCCCTTGGGATACACTAGTCACAAAAATATGATGTGCAGATTTGATATGTGTGGTTATGAATGAACTGCATGAAAGGTGTATGAATGGGGCCTAAATGGGCTGAAGACACAACTACACCCGGGAACTGCAATTAAAAGTTGCTGAACTGCTGACACTGATAAGAACTATGACAAATGATTAACTGTTGAACCTTTGAGGATAAACAACTTGTTTACATTAACCAGGGACAATTACTCTTTTAAGTTAAGGCAGTGGTTCTCAACCTGTGGGTCTGCAGATGTTTTAGCTTTCAAATGCTGGAAATCCTAACAGCTGGTAAACTGGCTGGGATTTCTGGGAGTTGTAGGCCCACAGGTTGAGAAACACTGAGTTAAGGCAATGTTTACAAGATTCCTTACATTAAGAAGCTGCTTGTGTTTATCAACACCAATTAAGAAGAGTCAACATCTGTTGGGAAACAGGGAATCCAGGATGTTTGAGGCTGGAAAAACATCTATCAATTATTTACAACTTTTTGGAACAACACAGTAGAATGTTGTCGAAGGCTTTCATGGCTGGAATCACTGGGTTGTTGTTGGTTTTTTCATGTTCTAGAAGCATCTAGCACATGGCCATATAGCCCGAAAAACCTACAACAACCCGACACAGTAGAATATTCCTATAAAAGACTCAATCTAATAATTCTCAAGTGTGACAGACAGTGACGCTGTTCACTGGCTATGCTCTGCTCCATTGGGAAGGAGAGAGATAATGAACCTTGGGAATGGCAGATCTGCAATGGAACGTAGTCTGGTCACTTGCCTCTTTTTCTCAAGGGAAGAGAAAGTGTGCAATTTTGGAGTTGTGGATTTTGTGCAGGGAGTCAGGTTCTGCTGTATGGGAAACAGGGATCCTGATCCTTAGAGAAAGGATATGTTTTGACATTTTGGCATTATGGAAGTTTTGGACTGTGTTTTGGCAGGCTGCAAGAAAAAAAGAGTCTGGCCTAAGAGACATTCTTCTCCAGGAGATGACGGAAGGTGAAATGGTGATGTATGTATGGTGATGGATAAATGTATATGTGAATGTGAATGCTGAGTAAAAATGTAACCCTCACTTTGTTTGTTAGTCAATGTAACTGTAGGTTTGTGAATCCAATATAGTTCTTGGGCTAAATGTTGTTCTGCAATACTGGAAAATTGCAATAAAAAGAACCCATGCTAGGGCCGGGCTGTAGCACAACTGGTTAATCACTAGCAGCAATAAATCACTGCCGTCCAGAAGGCGGCAAGTTCGAAGCCCAAGTCCCATTTGAGTCCCCAGCTTACTGTTCATCTAAACAGCTCAAAAACAACTAAGCTGTGAGTAGATAAATTAGAGACCACTTAAAGCGGGGAGGTTAATTTATGACACTATAAAAATGCCGGAGATCAAAGGACAAGGAGGAAATACTATGATATAATAATAATAACAACACTTTGTTTATATTCTGCCCTATCTCCCCAAGGGGACCCGGGGCGGATCATAGTACAAATACACGGCAAATATTCAATGCCGTCTTGGATAGGTAATACAGAGACTGACTGAACAGAAAGGAGGTATGTTGTGTCAACGTCAATGTCCAGCTTTTTTGGCGCCTTTTACTCTATTTATTATTATTATTATTATTATTATTATTATTATATTTATTGTTTTATTCTATTTATTATTATTATTACATTTATTCTTTTACTCTGTTATTATTACATTTAAATTATTTTACTCTATTTATTATTATTATATTTATCATTTTACTCTATTATTGTTACATTTATTATTTTACTCTATTGCTGTTATTATTACATTTCTATTATTTTACTTTATTACTATTGGAAGACTACGTAAGCACATTTATATTGAAGAAGGTTATTGTTATTATTACATTTATTCTTTTACTCTATTTTTATTATTATACTATTGTATTGTCGAAGGCTTTCATGGCTGGAATCACTAGGTTCTTGTGGGTTATTTCGGGCTATATGGCCATGTTCTAGAGGCCATGTCCTGACGTTTCGCCTGCATCTATGGCAAGCATCCTCAGAGGTAGTGAGGTCACTACCTCTGAGGATGCTTGCCAAAGATGCAGGCGAAACGTCAGGAGAAAATGCCTCTAGAACATGGCCATATAGCCTGAAAAAACCCACAAGAACCTATTATATTATTTTACTCTAATTATTATATTACATTTATTCTTTTACTCTATTATTGTTATTACTGCTACTATTATATTTATTCTTTTATTATTACTTTTATTCTTTTACTTTATTATTATTATTATTATTATTATTACATTTCATATTTTACTCCATTTATTATTATTGTATTTATTCTTTTACTTTATTTATTATTACATTTATTCTTTTACTATATTGTTATTATTACATTTCTATTATTTTACTTTATTACTATTGGAAGGCTACATAAGCACATTTATATTCAAGAAGGTTATTGTTATTATTACATTTATTCTTTTACTCTATTATTATTATTTTACTTTATTTATTATTATTATTAATTCATTTCATATTTTACTTTATTTATTATTATTATATTTATTATTTTACTCTACTTATTATTCTTATTATTACATTTTTTCTTTTACTCTATTATTGTTATTATTACATTTCTATTATTTTACTCTATTACTATTGGAAGGCCACGTACGCACATTGACCTTGAAGAAGGTTAGAATAATGGCTTAATCAGAGTTGGACAGTCTTATCTGAAATAACAGTTTTATGTAAATATTCAAAAACATTTAACATGCTAATTTTATTGGTATCTATTTTCATTTTGAAATTTACCATTCGCTGCTGCATTTCCCAAACTCAGCTTATACTCGAATCAATACGTATTCCCAGGTTTTTTTGTGGTATAATTGGGTGTCTCAGTTTATATTCGGGTCAGCTTATACTTGAGTATGTGCGGTATTTTTGTTGCTTTTCTTGCACGTGTTCGCTCTCAAGGAAGGCTAAAAGCACTTCCACATCTTTGCTTTTAAATGAAGAGAAATGAAGAGAGGCTCTATTGATTTTACTCTACGTTCTTACTCGGTGTTGAAGCTGACTATTAACTCACTTGTGTGAAGGCTGATTGCAGGTTAGTATGCAATTGCAACCAAAGAGATTACACAATAAATAAAACAGAGTAGAAACCTGAAACAACTCCCAAACCAAACCAAACTTCCATTAAAGGTTTTCTTATTTTCCTTGTCAGACCATTAAATACAAAACTGGGTGAAAACTGCAAATATCAAAGCAGAAAACGAAACACAAGACTGTTTTCTTGGCTGGACCCTGTTGACTGTGCATTTTGGAGAAGAGTCATGTGTTGATGCAAACATAGTCTCAGAAATCCCTCTGACAAGACATGACCTGCAAATGTGCTGGCAGAATAGCGTTAGGCGAAGTCTCCTAATGGCTCCCTTCTGGGTACAATCCTATTTAAAATACTTTCCTTTCCAAAAAGGTACCCAGACATTACACCAGGAGATGGGTAGAGTGAGAGAACTTCCCTTTGGCTGCAGGACGACTTATCTTTCGTGCTTAAATAAGATGTTTATTAATGAAGTAGCGCACAGGAAATGATTGCACAAATCTTCAGCACAGATTATTATTATTATTATTAGCCATTAGAAGCAATCTATGAAGACTTACAGAAGGGGGAGGAGATTCCCGGCCAATCAAAGGAGTGTTCTCACAGCGGGGATTCTGGAAGTTTGCATTCTGGGTCCTGGAGGGAAAGCAAAATGGGAAAGATTTGTTAGTTGTTGCTTGGTTCACAATAATGTTGGATGGCTAACACGGCCAGGAGCACTTCCAGGGTATTTGGGATCTTTTAAAGTACAGTAGATTCTCGCTCCTCATGATGCGGCCACATCATGAGGAGACAGCAAAGCCTATAGAAGACAATGATGCTGGGGAAAGTGGAAGGCAAAAGGAAGAGGGACCGACCAAGGGCAAGATGGATGGATGGCATCCTTGAAGTGACTGGACTGACCTTGAAGGAGCTGGGAGTGGTGACGGCCGACAGGGAGCTCTGGCGTGGGCTGGTCCATGAGGTCACGAAGAGTCAGAGACGACTGAACGAATGAACAACAACAAGAGTCTCGCTTATCCAACCTTCGCTCATCCAATGTTCTGTATTATCCAACGCAGTCTGCTCCCCTCCCGGATCCACGTCTGTTTCAATACATTGCGATGTTTTGGTGCTAAATTCATAACGTTACTGTGGATCTCATCACACTAGAGAATGAATCCACTTGAAATCCAGTTTCTCCCTCCTGCAGAATTCTGGGTTTTGTAGTTTAGGGAGAAGAGCTTTTAACAGCCTCACTAAGCTACAAACCCCAGAATTCTGCAGGAGGCAGAAACCAGATTTCAAGTGGATTCATTCTCTAGTGTGATGAGATAGTGTTATCGAACTGCTTTTTCTGTCGATTTGTTGTAAAACATGATGTTTTGGTGCTTAATTTGCAAAACCATAATGTAATTTGACATTTAATAGGCTTTTCCATAATCCTTCCTTATTATTCAACATTTTCGCTTATCCAACATTCTGCCGGCCCATTTATGTTGGATAGGCAAGACTCTCCTGTACCACTTTGGATCAAAAGTAGACCATGCTCCTGAGTTATCCTTGGCTCTGCAGAGAAATAAGATTAATGTCTGGTTTGCTGTGAGTTTTCCGGGCTGTCTGACCATGTTCCAGAAGCATTCTCTCCTGATGCTTTGCCCACATCTATGGCAGGCATCCTCAGAGGTTGTGAGGTCTATTGGAAACTAGGCAAGTGTGGTTTATATATCTGTGGAATAATGTCCAGGGTGGGAGAAAGAACCCTTGTCTGTTTGAGGCAAGTGCTACAAATGCTACTTTCAGCAAAGGATAAGAGGGATCCTCTTACCTCTGCAGGAGTCTATTGTATACCATGCAGCTGTGGACAAGTCTCAATAAGGACCACCCAACACAGTGTTGCCCAAACACGAATCAAGGAACATGAAAGGCACTGCAAACTACTTCAACAGAGAAATCAGCCATAACAGAGCATCTGATGAACCAACCTGGACACAGCGTATTATCTGAGAACACAGAAATCCTGGGCCACTCTCACAACTACCATGTCCAACGACACAGAGAAGCCATTGAAATCCACAAGAAGCATGTGGATAATTTCAACAGAAAAGAGGAAACTGTTCTGTTGCCGCTGGAGCCGAAATGAGGTGCTTTTAAGAGAGGATGTTAGGCTTGCATCCAGCGGGAAGCCAGGGCCCCCGAAAAGAAGCCTTTAGGAAAATTTCCCTTATTAAGCAGGCTTTATGAGGCTTGAGCTTAAATATAACAGTTCTTGATTAATGAACAAACAGGAATTGTAAACTTTCTTATCAGTCTATTAGCTCTTGCAATCTTGTTTACAGGAAACAGGCACTATCTTCAAAAATTTTGCTCAAAGGAAAATTCCCCTTTCTAGCTCCTCCCAGGCTGCTGTGAACCTAAACCTGACTGATTTGAGTCCACTACCGGCTGAACTGCGTCTCAGAACCTAGCAGACGTATCAACAGGCCTGTAGTCACTTAGCTGGTTGATGAGCAGAGCTGTTATTCCCTCCGGAAGTCCTCAGGGCTGTAAAGCTGTTTCCCTGGAACCTTTTGGGAATCTGTAGAGGCTCTTAAAACTGTTCTCCCCCGGGAAGTCTTAAGAGACGAAGTCTTTGCACAGGAGGACGTTTGAAACCAAACTGAAAAATGGCCCCTTCCCTCCAAAAACCCCAGAGAGGGGCGGGACCAGGGAACCTGTTATTGACAGGTGGCTTGTCCTATGAATGCAAATTATAACAGGAAGCCACCCTGCTGCAGAATCCCTGCAACTTTAGGACAATGAACAAACACTCAGTGCAAAGCACAAAATTGGAGCCCCTGGAACAGCCGTTCCAGAACAGAAACCATGAACAAAATCTGGTGACCAGTATTAAAAAGTATCAGGGTGGTAGATAAAAAGCAACACTAAAAAAACAGGGGAATTCCAGACAAGAATCAACCAGGGCCAGCTAAAACCTCCCAACAAAGGATTCCCCCAGGCAGGAATCTGCCAGGCTTTGAAGATACAAGGCTATTCAATGCTTATCAAGCTGGCCAATTGCAACATTCACACTTGAATTGTAATTTTTATGGTATTTATGCTGTTAGCATCCTCTGATGCTCATGTGAGGCTGTGCTGAGTCCCCCTCGTGGGGAGAAGGGTGGGATATAAATATTTATTATTTATTTATTTATTTATTTAGAACATTTTTACCCCGCCCTTCTCAACCCCTGGGGGGACTCAGGGCGGCTTACAATTGGCAATAATTCAATGCCGCATCATAAAATACAGAATAACAAATATAACAATTAAACATGAACATTAATAAAGATTAAAACAGTATACTTGCACTCTGATTAGCTATTGCCTGTCTAGTGGCTGTTTAGCTAGCCATCTACTAATGAATACTCCGCTTAACTTATCCAAATCCTCTTCCATGCCATAGTCAAACATTATCAATTGTCCTTTAACCTGATTGCCCAAAGGCCTGGTCCCACAGCCACGTTTTAACCTTTTTTCTAAAGGTGAGGAGGGATGACGATGACCTAATTTCCCCAGGGAGCAAATTCCACAGGCGGGGGGCCACCACCGAGAAGGCCTGGCAGCAGGAGCCAAATGGCACCTGAGGGTTGCCCTCCGGAGCTGCTTGGCTCCTGATGCCGGGGTTCTTCCACTCCAGGCCTGCCTTGGCTGTCAATGCGGAGAAGGAGGAGGAGGCGAGAGGTAGTCTAATATGGCGGGTATATAAAAAAAATTGAAATTTTCAATTGAAAAGTTGGGGGGGGGGGGGTTTTATTTATTTATTTCGGTTGCTTCTACCCCGCCCTTCTCACCCCGGAGGGGACTCAGGGCGGCTTACAAAAGCAAGGCACAATTCGATGCCCGCATCACATAACAACAAAAATAATAACATCAGTTAACAAAACAACAATTCTGGCACTAACACAATTAACAGAACAGTAATTATTACAGGCAAAAACAACCATAAAACCAATAAAACCAATACAAACCTCATTGACGGTCAGCGTTTCACAATCTCATAGTCAAATTTCAATTCCACAATTGTCAGTCCATACAGTCCCACCCATCTGGTTGTCCATGTCTAAATGTCAGATTGCCCAAAGGCCTGGTCCCACAACCACGTCTTTACCTTCCTCCTGAAGGAGAGAGGGATGTTGATGCCCTAATTTCCCCCGGGAGTGAGTTCCACAGGTGAGGGGCCACCACTGAGAAGGCCCTGCTCCTCATCCCCACCAGCCTCACTTGTGATAGCGGTGGGGTCGAGAGCAGGGCCTCCCCAGATGATCTCAAATTCCGGGTGGGACGTAGAGGGAGATACGTTCGGACAGATACACTGGACCGGAACCGTAAAGGGTTTTGTAGGTCAAAACCAGCACCTTGAATTGTGCTCGGAATTGAACCGGCAGCCAGTGGAGCTGACACAGCAGGGGAGTGGTGTGCTCCCTGTATGTCGCTTCGGTCAGCAATCTGGCTGCCTCCTGCTGGACCAGTTGAAGTTTCCGAACAGTCTTCAAGGGCAACCCCACGTAGGGTGCGTTGCAGTAGTCTATACGGGATGTAACAAGAGCGTGGACCACTGTGGCCAGATCAGACTTATGCACCCAGTTGTCTAGCACACCGGAAAATATAGTATATAAATGCCACTTGTCCTAGTTTCCAACAGACCTCACAACCTCTGAAGATGCCTGCCATAGATGTGGGAGAAATGTTAGGAAAGAATGCTTCTGGAACATGGCCAAACAGCCCGGAAAACTCACAGCAACCCAGTGATTCCAGCCATGAAAGCCTTCGACAACACAAAATCAATGTCACTCAATGGTGGGAGGAGAAATCTATTGCCTCCCCCAGTTATAGGAGTCACATCATTTACCAGTTCAGAATTCCAGCCACTGGAGGGGGAAAAAAAGCCAAACCGAGTCAAAAACCCCCTGCCCTAATAGATCATCCTATTGACTCTCAGCAGGGATCCATCTCATACATTATAGGCTTACAGCTTGTGCTGCTTCATTCCTTTCCTGCCTGAGATGGAAATCCTTTAAACACACAAAAGTTAAGTCTCTCCTAGGCATGCACTTTGTGCAGTTTATTTGCTGCTGGCAAGTGTTTCCAGTCTCTTCAATACTGAGAAGCCTTTCCCCATTAAAATCTACAAACATCCATTTATACTCTCTCTACTTTCAGAGTGAATTAAACAAACTTGATAGTTGTGGAAGTCACCAACATATTCTTTTGGGTTTTGCTGTCATAGCAATTAGAGGTGTGCAAAATGGCTAAAATCCAATTAGGAATCTGTTTTGGAGATTCGGATGGCCTCCGCTGTTGGAAATAGCAATCTTCTTCAAGCCTCCACAAGTTATTTGTTATGTATATAATTCAGAGTGCTTACTGTATTGTACATTTATTTATTTATTTTATTTACTTTATTTGTATACCACTCTTCTCAGCCCTTAGGCGACTCGGAGCGGTTTACAACAATTTAGGTATACACAATACAAAATCATTGAGCATTTAAAAGCAATAGCATCACAAATCATTAAACATCAATATCAATACATCACTACATCAATATAACAAATCCATCAGGTCTCATCAATGAAATCAGAATCCAAACTCGTTATCCGATATTCGGTGTTCCGATAGTCAGTCAATCAATCACACTGCTTAGTCGAATGCCTGTTCAAACAGCCAGGTCTTTACTTTCCTCCGGAATGCCAGCAAGGAGGGGGTCGATCTAATAGCTGCAGGAAGGGTGTTCCACAGCCGAGGGGCCACCACTGAGAAGGCTCTGTCTCTCGTCCCCGCCAGGCGTGCTTGTGAAGCCAGCGGGATCGAGAGCAGGGCCTCCCCAGACGATCTTAATGTCCTAACTGGTTCATAGGAGGAGACGCGTTCGGACAGGTAGGTCGGGCCAGAACCATTTAGGGCTTTGGACACAATATTCGATGCGTTCGGACAGATAGGTTGGGCCAGAACCTTTTAGGGCTTTAAAGGCTAAAGCCAGCACTTTGAATTGTGCCCGGTAGCAAATTGGCAGCCAGTGGAGCTGGCGCAACAGTGGAGTGGTGTGCTCCCTGAGTGCCGCTCCTGTTAGCATCCTGGCTGCTGATCGTTGGACCATTTGAAGCTTCCGAGCAGTCTTCAGAGGCAACCCCACATAGAGAGCATTGCAGTAGTCTAAACGGGATGTGACTAGAGCGTGGACTACCGTGGCCAAGTCAGGCTTCCCAAGGTACGGGCGCAGCTGGCGCACTAGTTTTAACTGTGCGAATGCTCCCCTGGTCACCGTTGAAACCTGGGGTACATGTGTGTTTGTATACAGTTTTCCTTAATTCTATGTTGTGGAAGGGGCTGCAGGTCATGTGGACAGATCTGGGACTATACAGGACTCAGATTCCATTTTAGAAAGGCAGGAGCCATTAGACTTTCAATGAAGGAACACTATGCTTTCAGACTCTGCTCTCGCTTTATATGTCTTTGTGACTTGCCATATCTTTGTCCCTAACAGTTCAAAGAGATATCTAGGTACATAATTTATATATCGTGTCAGAAGCGACTTGAGAACATACTGCAAGTTGCTTCTGGTGTGAGAGAATTTTCCATCAAAAGAGATGTTGCCAAGGGGGACACCTGGATGTGCTGCCATCCTGCTGGGAGGCTTCTCTCATGTCCCCGCAATATAGAGCTGACAAACGGGAGCTCACCCTATCTTCCAGATTCGAATTGGCAACCTTCAGGTCAGCAATGCAATCTTCAGGTCAGCAGTCCAGCCGGCACAAGGGTTTAACCCATTGTACTACGATGGCTCCTACTGGTATATCAGTTTAACAGTTTATCAGTTCCTACTGGCTGTTAGGGATCGTGGGAGTTGAACCAAAACACCAGGAGGGCCGAAGTTTGCCCATGCCTGATCTGTCCCTTTCTGATTAGTTATTTGGAGATCAAAAGACAACCTGTCAAAATGGCACTATCTAAAAGGATCCCACACCTTGTGTGACTGTGGAGCAGATCAAACAACTCCGCATGTGTATGCTTGTCCACTATGCCCTGCCTCATGTACAGAGGAAGAATTGTTGGAAGCTACAGACAATGCTGTTGCTGTTGCCTGTTTTTTGGTCAAAAGATATTTAGCCACTTGTGCTCCTTTTATTTTTATCAGTTTTATACTAATTTATGCAATGCTTTTTGAAATAAATAATAATTTGGAGATTTTGATTAATGAATCATTTGAATCTCTGAATTACAAAACAGAGTGTCTAAAGCTTTGCACACCCCTAACAATTATGGTCTCCATTTGTTTATGTGCACTATATTTGAAGCAACTAATTTTCTGAATCCACTCAGGTACAGCAAGCAATAGACCAACGGCCTCTTTCTTATCCATGCCTTGAAATCGTTGTTTTGTTCGAAGCCACTGGTCCTTCTCTCTCTATTCTAGTTAATTATGACGTCGTTGTTTATTGTTTGCATTTTCGGGTTTATTCTGCTGTAATTTGTTGTCTGGGCTTGGCCTCATGTAAGCCGCCCAGAGTCACCAGAGGGGAGATGGTGGCAGGGTATAAATAAAGATTATTATTATTGGGTTGTTGTAGGTTTTTCCGGGCTATATGGCCATGTTCTGGAGGCAATTTTCTCCTGACGTTTCACCTGCATCTATGGCAAGCATCCTCAGAGGTAGTGAGGTCTGTTGGAAGTAGGAAAAATGGGTTTATATATCTGTGGAATGACCAGGGTGAGACAAAGGACTTTTGTTTGCTGGGGCTAGCTGTGAATGTTTCAGCTGATCACCTTGATTTGCATTCAATGGCTTGGAAGCGCCTGGGGGAATCTTTTGTTGAGAGTGATTTCATGTGCCTGTTTGTTTCCCCTCTGTTGTTTTGCTGCTGTAATTTTTGAGTTTTTTAATACTGGTAGCCAGATTTTGTTCATTTTCATGGTTTCCTCCTTTCTGTTGAAATTGTCCACATGCTTGTGGATTTCAATGGCTTCTCTGTGTAGTCCAACATGGTGGTTGTGAGAGTGGTCCAGCATTTCTGTGTTCTCAAATAATATGCTGTGTCCAGGTTGGTTCATCAGGTGCTCTGCTATGGCTGACTTCTCTGGTTGAAGTAGTCTGCAGTGCCTTTCATGTTCCTTGATTCGTGTCTGGGCAATGCTGCGTTTGGTGGTCCCTCTGTAGACTTGTCCACAGCTGCATGGTACACGGTAGACTCCTGCAGAGGTGAGAGGATCCCTCTTGTCCTTTGCTGAACGTAGCATTTGTTGGATTTTCTTGGTGGGTCTGTAGAGTTTGTATGTTGTGTTTCCTCATCAGCTTCCCTATGCGGTCAGTGGTTCACTTGATGTACAGTCCAACCCCCTTCCAAGATGCAGGAAAACCTATTATTATTATTATTATTATTATTATTATTATTATTATTATTTGAAACACAACAAGATGAGTCCACAGCAGACACACTGCTGGCTGTTGTATGGATCACACGTTGGACACTTCCCAAGTGTCTAGGACTGTGTGATGTATCGGCGAATAATGTGCAGATCCCAGTAAGGTGGCCTTCTGCAGCTGGCAGATGGTAATTTTGTCAGCGCTGATTGTGTTTAAGTGCAGGCCAAGGTCTTTAGGCACTGCACCCAGTGTGCCGATCACCACTGGGACCACCTTTACTGGTTTGTGCCAGAGTCTTTGCAGTTCGATTTTTAAATCCTCATATCGTGTCAGCTTTTCCAGTTGCTTCTCTGCAATCCTGCTGTCACCTGGGATTGCGACATCAACGATCCATACTTTTTTTTTAACATGATTGTGAGGTCAGGAGTATTATGCTCCAAAACTCTGTCTGTCTGAATCCGGAAGTCCCAGAGGAGTTTGGCGTGTTCATTCTCTGTAACTTATTATTATTATTATATTTTATATATTATTATTATTATGCTGGCGTTGGCCTATAAAGCCCTAAACGGTTCTGGCCCAAGTTACCTATCCGAACGTATCTCCGCCTATGAACCCACCAGGACTTTAAGATCTTCTGGGGAGGCCCTGCTCTCGATCCCGCCTGCATCACAGGCACGTTTGGCGGGGACGAGGGACAGGGCCTTCTCAGTGGTGGCCCCCCGGCTGTGGAACACCCTTCCCATGGACATTACATCAGCCCCCTCGTTAATGGTGTTTCGAAGAAAACTGAAAACCGGGCTATTTGAACAGGCGTTTGGATAAACAGTGCAATGCATATAATGAATATAGGAAAACGGAATTACGGATGACGAGTTGGATCATGATTCTAGTTATGAGATGTTAATGTGTTGTCTATTGATGTGTAATTACTTAGTATATTACGGTGTTAATTGTTTTTAAATAGTGTATGTTGTTAGCATTGAATTTTTGCTCTTGTTGTTAACCGCGTTGAGTCGCCTACGGGCTGAGAAACTGCGGTATACAAATAAAGTAAATAAATAAATTATTATTATTATTATTATTATTACTATTACTATTATTATTATTATAGGAGCCTCCCCAAGCTCAGAGACATCTTTCCCATTCAAGATCCTTCAAAGTGGAAATGCCAGGGACACAGTGCAGTTGTGGCTCTGGGGGTGCCAATAAAGCGACTACTCACATGTACTCTGTAACAGGAGCATTGCTGACGGTGTGCGCTGCCGCTGGGATGCTGGTCTCGCTGCCATAGCTGCTCCCACAGCTGTAGAGGCTGGGCATGTGGACCCTGTACAAGTTGTCGTGTGTTTGCCGGTTCCCTTGAGCCGTAGACTCGTCCTCTGCATCTTCGTCCGAACTCCTGCCAAAGAGGGGGAAGAATCAGCCTCTTAGGCAATGCAATATCCATGCAATATCCCCAAAACTCTCCTCTTCCCACATGCCGTAACATCCCACAGCAACCAGCTCCTTCCAGGGAAAAGAATGACTCAGACCTCCCACAACTCTCATCTGGGCTTTCTAAGCCTGCTGTGAGTCTTCCCGTGGAGTCTGCCAGCAAACATACTACGCAACTGAAATCGATGACTATAAAATCAATCTCAAAGATCAAAATAAAGCAAGAGATGTACATAAATACACAACATGTTTCATACAGGGACTGGCTAATCCCTGGGTTGGATAACAACAACAACAACAAGAACAACAAGAACAACAACAAGAACAACAACAAATTTATGGAACCAATTTTCAGTTCCTGAGCCACAAGGTGGATCAGATCCCCCAGAACAAATCCAGAAGTTGCCAGAAGACCACTGAACTCACTGTGTGTCCTGTGTGCACATAAATACAACAAATATAGCTATTTTACTGGGGAAGAGATAGGCTTCATGTTTATCTGGCATTGTTCTACCAGGCTATAGGAACCTAACGCTAGCACAGCTAGGCCGGGCTGTAGCACAGCTGGTTAACTGCCAGCAGCAACAGATTACTGTTGACTGGAAGGTGGCACATTTGAAGCCCGAGTCGGATTGAGTGCTCAACCATTAGCCAAGCTCACTCTTCACCTGTCAGGACCCCTGGGAGGATCGCAGGGGTTGTAAGAGGGGTCACCAAAGACCATCAGAAAACACAGTATTTTCTGTTGGTCATGGAGGTTCTGGGTGGGAAGCTTGGCCCAGTTCTATCATTGGAGGGGTCAGATTTGCAGGTGAACTATAAATCCCAGCAACCATGACACCCAAGGTCTTTTTCCCCCAAACTCCACCAGTGTTCACAATTGGGCAGATTGAGTATTCATGCCAAGTTTGGTCCAGATCCATCATTGTTTCAATTCCATCCCTGGTGGAGTTCAGAATGAGGCAAAGAATACCTTCTTTGCCTCGGTCTTCTCACAAAAAGAAAGTCATCTTCAACCTCAGCAAGATGGAGTGGATGAGGGATTAGAGGACATCCAACCCCAAATTGGGAAACAAGTCGTCCAGGAATACTTGGCCGGGACCAGATCAACTACACCCAGGAGTATTGAAGGAACTAGCGGAAGTCATTTCGGAACCATTGGCAATCAACTTTGAGAATTCTTGGAGAACGGGAGAAGTTCCACCAGATTGGAGGAGGGTCAATGTGGTCCCAATCTTCAAGAAGGGAAAAAAGGATGCAATATTCCTTCTTCTTGGCAGGGGGTTCGACTGGATGGCCCATGAGGTCTCTTCCAACTCTTTGATTCTATGATTGTAGATGAACTATAAATCCCAGCAACTACAACTCCCAAATGACAAAATCAATCCCCTCAACCCCACCAGTATTCAGATTTGGGCATATAGGGTATTTGTGCCAAATTTGGTCCAGTGAATGAAAATACATCCTGCATATCAGATATTTACATTACAATTCATGTTGTTGTTGTTCATTCGTTCAGTCGTCTCCGACTCTTCATGACCTCATGGACCAGCCCACGCCAGAGCTCCCTGTCGGCCGTCACCACCCCCAGCTCCTTCAAGGTCAGTCCAGTCACTTCAAGGATGCCATCCATCCATCTTGCCCTTGGTCGGCCCCTCTTCCTTTTGCCTTCCACTTTCCCCGGCATAATTGTCTTCTCCAGGCTTTGCTGTCTCCTCATGATGTGGCCAAAGTACTTCAACGTTGTCTCTAGTATCCTTCCCTCCAATGAGCAGTCGGGCTCTATCTCCTGGAGGATGGACTGGTTGGACCTTCTTGCAGTCCAAGGCACTCTCAGCACTTTACAATTCATAACAGTAGCAAAATTACAGTTATGAAGTAACAACAAAAATAATGTTATGGTTGGGTGGTCACCACAACATGAGGAACTGTGTTAAGGGGTCGTGGCATTAGGAAGGTTGAGAAACATTGATCTCTGACTTTCAATACTACCCAGTGGACAAGACGGTGAGACAGAACAGGCTACTTATGACAACAATCTACGATGATTACATCAATAGTTCTCAACCTGTGGGTCTCCAGGTGTTTAGGCCTTCAACTCCCAGAAATCCCTACAGCTGGTAAACTGGCCAGGATTTGTGGGAGTTGTAGGCCAAAACACCTGGGGACCTACAGGTTGAGAACCACTGCTCTATATACAATCTACATGATGTTGTCTGGAATTATGCTAATGACATGCCCAAACATAGGACCCCTTTGGATACTATACTATAACTCTAGTAGTGTGACATCCCAAACTTCTTCATCACCAAGACCCACAAAGGGTCACCAACAGAGAAGACAGAAAGGGGGTCAGCCATTCCATCAATATAGATTGAAGGGGGAAGAGATAGGAGGGCACATTCTTGTCTGTCTGTATATGCTTTCCCATTTCCTTCCTGCCTGAGCCAAGTGTGGTATAATAGTGTTAGTACTGGATGAGAAGACCAGGATCCAGATCCCCAACCGAACCTTTTTCCCCAGGCTTGGGCAGCCTGATGTCCAAATGCATAAAGCCAATCTTCCCTTTCTTGTCGCACTTACCTTTTTTGCTGCCAGGTATGTGGGACACTGCACACAATGGAACTGAACATGAGGGCTGTGACGAAGGAGAAGAGAACCAAGTAGATGAGCCCTTCCACACCGTCGTAGCAGAAGCCCGTCAGAGCCTGGATGTAATCCTGGAGAGCAGAAATACACTGAATTGTTCCAAGCTCAATTTGGAGAGCTGTAAATATCATTAGGCTTCTAAATCTGAACAATATTGATTTCTTAAAGTAAGCTTACTATTGGTTTGACGGAACATTGAAGACACTTCATGACTGATTGATTGATTGACTGAAGTGTTCGTTTCCCATTCTAATTTTAATACAAAGGCATATCTATATAAAGAAAGACCTACTGCTATAGAGAGACCAAGAGGCTACTTGGCTTCTTGGTCAGGTTTGGAGTTAAATTAAGTGATGTTTTCCTGGCCTCTTCAGAGCAGACAACATTGTCACGGAATCAAGTTCCTGGATTAGCTCTCATGTTCATGGATCTTGTCTTCTGTGTTTGCCTTTGTTCCTGAAAGAGTTTTCCTTGGAAAGATTCCTGTTTTCATGCTGATGGATTTATACCTATGTTCTTGACTTCCTGGATATCATGTATTGACTTACGCACTATATTAATCAGTCCTATTCTCACAATAGATTTTCACCAATCCGCCCACCCATGTCCAGAAACTGATCATTATTTATTTATTTATTTACTTTATTTGTATACCACAGTTTCTCAGCCTAACAGGCGACTCAACGCGGTTTACAACAAGGATAAAAATCAAACAGTGATATACAATTTAAAACCCTAATAACATGGTATACAATATTGACACAATAACAACCCAATACATCTCATAACTAGAGTCGTGATCCAATTCGTCGTCCATTTTTCCATTCCTGTATCATAACATTCATTGCACTGTTGATCCGAATGCCCGATTCACTGGTTGCAGATTCACTGGTTGTTGGTTTGATGGTCGCTTTTATAGTTGTTACAATGTTTACAATGTTGTTTTTATTTTGTTTTATGCTGTTGTTTAAGCAGTATGCCAATACTGTTGGAAATAACAACCTTCCACAAGCCTCCTACACTACTTATTTGTTATGTATATAACTGAGATTGCTTTGTGTATTGTATATGTGTGTATTGGGTTGTTGTGTGTTTTCTGGGCTGTATGATCATGTTCCAGAAGCATTATCTCCTGACATTTCACCTGTATCTATCAAGCTGGGGATCACAACCAGTCACAGTGAAGACATCTGCCCTTTCGCTATGCTACTCTGCTGCTGAGTACGCATGCCCAGTGTGGAACACATCTCACCACACTAAAACAGTGGATGTGGCTCTTAATGAGACATGCCGCATTATCACGGGGTGTCTGCGCCCTACACCACTGGAGAAATTACACTGTTTAGCCGGTATTGCACCACCTGACATCCGCCGGGAAGTAGCAACCAATAGTGAAAGGACCAAGGCAGTGACATCTCCAGCTCATCCCCTGTTTGGATATCAGCCAACACGTCAACGACTTAAATCAAGAAATAGTTTTCTAAGATCTACAGAGACACTCGCTGGAACACCCAGCAAGCGAGAGTCCAAAAGTGGCAGGCTCAAACCCAGAACCTCAACCAATGGCTGATACCAAATGAGAGACTCCCCCTGGGCACACAGAAGACTGGGACTTGGAAGGCACTGAACAGACTGCGCTCTGGCACCACGAGATGCAGAGCCAACCTTAAGAAATGGGGCTACAAAGTGGAATCCACATGCGAGTGTGGAGAAGAGCAAACCACTGACCACCTACTACAATGCAACCTGAGCCCTGCCACATGCACAATGGAGGACCTCCTTGCGGCAACACCAGAGGCACTCCAAGTAGCCAGCTACTGGTCAAAGGACATTTAATCAACTGCCAAGCTTGCAAACTTTGTGTTCTGTCTGTCTGTTTGTTTTGTTAAAAATATAATACAAATGTCTGGTTGCTCCTGACATGATAAATAAATACCTGTATCTATGGCAGGTATTCTCAGTGGTTGTGAGGTCTGCTGGAAACTAGGAAAATTGAGTTTATACATATATCTGTGGAATGTCCAGGGTGGGAGAAAGAACCCCCTCAGACTCCAATTTAGAATATAAAACCAGAATGCTTTAGAGAAGACTCCATTAGACTCTCAGACCAGAGAGATGCTTTGGACTGTTGATTTTAAGAAAGATGCCCTGTGTTATCTACAAAGAGAAACTACTTCAAATCCTATCTGTAACTGGATTGATATGCAATGTATCTGTATGCTGAATACATAAAGTTTATGAGTAAACTAACTATGTTACTTTAAAGAAGTCTACTTATTTTTGTTCTTTTGAAAGCATGATTTAAACTAAGAGGTTTTAATGGAGAGTAGATGTTTTTGGGCAACGAAATAACACTTCTGAAACTCTGCTATGTATGTTTTTTGTGCATTGGCATATCTTTGTTTCTAACAGTTCAAGGAGATAGCTAGGTATATCAGTTTAACAACTGAGAAACCTAAGTGCCTTGCATTAATACTAGTGGATATTTATCATTAAGGAGAAGGCTGACTCAAGCGAATTTTTAACTCTTCTCAGGAAGATCATACTTTCCAAAAGGTTATGTGTGCTGGCATGGCTGTGCCAGGAGATTTGATTCTATTTTCTTGCGCTGTTAGTTTGCATGAATCTATTCAAGCTATGGTTTTCTGAAATTGGATAGCTTTCCCCAGGTTGCAATCATAGGGCCAACAACCTATTAATCATCCTTAGAGCCTTTAGATCCGCCCCCTTCCCCAGGTTTTGGAGGGAAAAGGGGACTTTTAGTTCAGTCTCACAGTTTGGAGCCCTACAGTAGGACGTGTGGGTTTCTCTCTACCCCACCTGGAAAAAGCTTCGCTTCTTACAGCTCTGCCGGGGTCAAAGAAATAGATCTACAGCCAGCTTTTGCTGGGAAAAGGGAAAACCTCTACAGCTTTGCTGGAGAGTAAAGTTACAGTTACAGAGCTTTCGTGGAGAAACTAAATGTGTTAGACGGGGTTACACTCCCCCTGAAGACGCAGGTTCGCAGCTTGGGAGTGATCCTGGACTCATCGCTGAGCCTGGAACCTCAGGTCTCGGCAGTGGCCGGGAGACCTTGTGCGCAATTTATTTATTTATTTATTTATTTATTTATTTGCTTTATTTCTATACCGCATTTTTCAGCCCAAACAGGCGACTCAATGCGGTTTACAAGGTACAAATTATCATAACAATGTCAGTGCAATTAAAAACACAACAAATGTAACAACAGGATCAACAACACCGATCCACAACAATTAACAAACAACATGAAACAAACATAGCGCCTCAATGAAATCAGATCCGATCTCATAATCCTTGTGCCATTCCTATGTTCCATTTACCGTCTTCCTATGTTCGGTTGCACTGTTTAACCAAACGCTTGTTCATAAAGCCAGGTCTTGACCTTTCTCCGAAACGCCAGCAACGATGGTGCCTGTCTGATGTCTACCGGTAAGGCATTCCATAGCCGAGGGGCCACCACTGAGAAGGCCCTGTCTCTCGTCCCCGCCAAGCGCGCCTGTGACGCAGGCGGGACCGAGAGCAGGGCCTCCCCAGACGATCTTAATGTTCTAGTCGGTTCATAGGTGGAGATGCGTTCGGAGAGGTAAGTGGGGCCAGAACCGTTTAGGGCTTTATAGGCTAAAGCCAGCACCTTGAATTGTGCCTGGTAGCAGATTGGCAGCCAGTGGAGCTGGCTCAACAGAGGAGTGGTACGCTCCCTGAGTGCCGCTCCCGTTAGCAACCTGGCTGCCGAGCGCTGGACCATCTGAAGCTTCCGGGCAGTCTTCAAGGGCAACCCCACGTAGAGCGCGTTGCAGTAATCAACCACTGATTAAACCACTGAGCTGTTGAACTTACTGACTGAAAGGTCAGCAGTTTGAATCCGGGGAACGGCGTGAGCTCCTGCTGTTAGCCCCAGCTTCTGGCAACCTAGCAGTTTGAAAATATGCAAATGTGAGTAGATCATTAGGTACCGCTCCGGCAGGAAGGTAACAACGCTCCATGCAGTCATGCTGGCCACATGACCTTGGAGGCGTCTACGGACAACACCAGCTCTTTGCCTTAGAAATGGAGATGAGCACCAACCCCCAGAGTCAGACATGACTGGACTTAATATCAGGAGAAAACCTTTACCTTTGCTATATCCAGCATTGTCTGTGGCCCCTTCTACACTGCCATATAATCCAGATTATCAAAGCAGATAATCCATATTATCTGCTTTGAATGGGATTATATGAGTCTACACTGCCATATAATCCAGTTCAAAGCAGTTAATCTGGATTTTATATGGCAGTGAAGAAGGGGCCTTGGTTTGCATCTGTTTGTGGCTCTTTCTTTCTTTCTTCTTCCCTTTCCTTTATATGCCTTGTCCCTCTCTCTTTTCTTCCTTTCTTTTCTTCTTCCCCTGCTTTCTCTCATACATTTCCTTCCTTCCTTCCTTCTATTAATCCATTTCAGTTAATTTCAGCTCAAGGGGGTAATTTCAACCAAAGTTTTCTTCTGCAGTTGACCAGAGCTGGGAATAAGCTCACTTTTTAAGGCCCCATGAGACATCACTTTGAAAGGTAAATAGGTCTTCCTGCCTTTCCAAAAGTCAATGAGGGGAAAAAACATTTTCTGATAATTAGAATGAAGGCTCTCTCCAATTTTCACCCAGAAACCAAAGAGTGAGAACCAATTTGGTCAGGGGAAAAAAAGATCTGCAATCTGATGTCAAATATCCGCTGGATAATTTCAGAATTATCCAATATTTGATATCTGCATTTAACATGATATGATATTTGCTTTCCATTTTAACTATATGATGACATATAAAAGCTGAGCCTATCGGACAACAGATGACATGCTATAGTCATTTAAACCTGTCCAAATACGATTTGTTTTGAAAGAGAGAGATCCCCAAAGTTGAAATCCCAAGGCTTCCTTTCAGAGAAGGATCTAAAATGCCAGTGTGCAGGTACAGCTGTACCAGGAGCTCCAATTTTGTTTGCTTTGCATTGAATGTTTGTTGTAGTCCTAAGTTTCAGGGACTCTGCAGATAAGTGGCTTCTTTTGGCTGCAATCATAGGGCAAGCCACCTGTCAATTATAGTTAGGTTCCCTGGTCCCGCCTCCTTTTTGAGTTTTGGAGGGAATAGGAGCCAATTTGGGTTCAGTCCACACAGAGAAGCCTTCCATGCAGGACATAATACCAAGAGCTCCTGTAGAAAGCTTCGTCTTCTACGGCTTGGCCGGGGAGATATACAGCCTACAGCTTGACCGGGGTTATACAGCCCTACAGCTCCTTCGCTGAGGGACTTCAGTCAGCCATCACGGAAACTTGAACTCTTTCTCCCCTGGAAGTCTACAAAGCTCTGCTTGGTAACGGTCACTCGCGGAAGCCAGAAGCAGCTGGTATCGGGTACAGGGGCTCCACGCCAACAGAGGCAAAGACAGACTGCCCAGATTAGAAGTTAAGGATATCCCCATTAGTTAATGTACAGTTTATGAAGATAGTGCCTGTTCCCTGTGGACAAGATTGAGAGAGAGCCAATAGACTGTTAAGAAAGCCTTAAAGTACCTGTTTGTTTTCATTAATAAAGAACTTTGTTGAACCTTTAAGCAACCTAAAGACTCTGTTTTAAGGAAATACAAGGGCCTTTAATCTGAGGCAGCCCCGGCATCCCGTTGGGCACACAGAATTTATGTCCTGTCTACAGTCTTATGCACAGGCCCAGCGTGCGACAGCAAAGCCAGTTGCCAGTCATGATTGGAAACCGAATAGTAGATACGATCCTATCCCAAAATGCCAGCTGCTGCGTAATGGCAATCAGAGAGAAGAAGCTATTGGATATGGGAACAGCAGCCAAACGTTCTTTATAGGAAGGAAACAGCAGCAAGGGGTGACACATCAAGACCTTTTGGAGGTAGACCAAGGACAATATCAAATTAAGTCAAATGAAGAATTGTTTTCTGAGAGTCATAGTTTTCAGTGTCACTATTTGATAAAAATATATGGGATGCAGCTATGTTTAGATGATGAACATTCATTTGGCAAATTTTATAAACTCTTATTAGAAGCTGTGTTCGAAGAGCAGGAACAAGAAGTCAAAGCCAGTATGATAAAGTGGGCTCAGAATGTCAGAGATAGTTCAGGTGGCAGAATGGGAAAAAATGTGGCCAAAGGGAATGTATTTTATATTATACTATCTCAGGCATTGCCCGGGTTATTTGAAAAAGTCATTTTTTAAAAATATTTACAGAATGCATAAGGTTGTGGTTGTGTAGGGGACCCCCCTGCTTGGGGTCCTTGCTGAGTCCGTCGCAGAGGGCAGCAAAATGAAGAGAGTCTAGCCTCCAGAGGT